TTCCAATCTTGTGATGATTAGTATTTGTGACGCGACATCAATAACTTCCCTGAGAATGAAGTAGTAATTAAAAGAAAAGAAAGACCAAGAAGTTGTGTGTGTGTGTGTGTGTTTTAAAGGCTTCCACTCAGTTACAAAGAATGTTGTAATCCAATGTAGACAGATTTTACCAAACCATGGGTTAGGTGTTGTGTTGCTGAGTGCAAGGCTCAAACTCACCAGCAGCTCCTGGGTGAAAGATGAGGCTGACTGCTCCTTTAAGATTGAGAGCCTTGGAAACCCTATCGCGGGTCCCTGTGAGTCCTGGCGGCACAGTGGTTACAGGTTGGGCTGCTAATTGCAAGGTCAGCAGTTCAAAATCACCAGGGAGACAGAAGAGGCTTACCACTCCAGAAAAGGGTTAGTCTTGGAAACCCACAGGGCCAGTTCTCCTCCATCCTATGGCATTGACTCTGGCGGTGAGGTGAGTCAGGGAATTCCGTGGCTTTAGGTTTGGTGTCCTCCTATCATCTAAGACATACTACATTTAGCCAATATATATATGCATTTAGGAGCCCTGGTGACGCAGTGGTTATACACTGGGCTGCTAACTGCAAGGCCAGCAGTTAGAAACCATTAGGGGTTACAAGGGAGAAAGAGGGTTTCCACTCCCCTTCCTTAAGTTAGCAGGCTCCAAAGACCCACAGGGGCAGTTCCACTCTGCTCTGTAGGATCGCCGCTAGGAGTCAGAACCGATTTGATGGCAATGAGTTTTAAGGTTTTTTGTTTTTTTAAAAAATGCCTGTATTTATCACATTTGAGTCTATGGTTAAAAATTGGCAACCAACACGACTAGAGATTCTGCATGGTGGGAAATGGGAGGAAGTCTATGGGGAGGGGGGCGGTGACACCACGCCACTTGTCCGGTTGCCAGACCCCAGTTCTTTCCCAACCCCCCAGCAGGCTTTGCTCCCTTGGGCCCGATCTCTTTATCTGCTCTGGGCTGACCCCAGCTTTCGCTCAGGTCTGCGTGGGCCACTATGGAGGCTGGAAATCCCCTTAGGAGACACCCCCCCCCCTCAATGTCCCATGTTGCTCAGAAGAGGCAAGGGGACAGTCATAGGACCGTAGGTGTGGGCGCTGGGTGGCCAGGGCCAGGAATGCCTAGTACGGCGGGGGGTGAAGACTTCGTTCCTCCAGGCCGGCCCCCCACGCCGGGTGGGGGTCGGGGGATAGCAAGGTTCAGCCCCTCTCTGAATCCGTGTCCCCGCCCCCCAACGCCCAGCCAGCTGCGTGGGCCCAGGCTGGGCTGCGGGGACGCAAACCGGAGGGC